TTTTTTTTTTTTTTTTTTTTTTGAATGATTTAATTTCGTTCACATATTTAGATTACATCATACTAGATGGCGTAAGCAACCCTCTGGTCTTTTTTTTTTTGAGATTGATATTTGAAAACATGTGACGGAAAGTCCCATAAGATGTCACGTCTGTTCTCTATTTCGTCGTCAGAGAATCGAACTTGATCCCATCCCTACTAATGCCGTATCATCGTCCTTGTCCAATCTATCGCGAACGAGCGATTCATGTAGCTGTCGCGTGAATGCTATCATTTGTTTTCTACGTTTCATCAGCCATCTCGATTCGAAGAAAATCGCTGCCCGTATATCGACCGATCGAGGGTATGCGAAATTGGAATCGCAGATTCTGAATTTCACGAAAATTACCGTCTGAACGCTTCCTAACAATCGGCATCTGTCGTACGTAAACCCCGATTTTTATGTGAAAGATGATTCAATCATGATTTCTTATTATTTCGTCGGTTTAGATTAATTAGATTGCGGATTTATGGAAAATTTAGCTGCCCAAAAAATCTAAAAAACTCACATTACGTTAAAACTCAAATAGTTAGATCTTCAGATTCATTTTTTATAATTTATATCCGCGAAATGATTTCATATCTTTGAAAATTTAACTTCTTTTCTCTCTCTTTTTAATTTATTATTTTATTATTAACAATCCATATTTCTTTCCATTTCCATATACAAGATATTAATATATTTATAGAAATTTCGTAGAAATGCTTTTGCAAAGCTTATTAGCTACTTAATTTTATTTAATTTAGATGGAAAAGAGAAGGGTGGATCGATCCTCCAAATGATTGTTCCATTGAATATATATCATCATCCTATATGTATATAAAAGAAACGAATTCAATTACAATATAAATATAGCTTTGTTATCGAATTCGTCGCACTTCATGTTATATAAGCAATACGGTCATTGACAAAATTTATATACGTATATACGTGTATAAATACATACATATAAATCTACGTAGTATCACACAAGACAAGTTGAACAATTGAATCGGTGAATGATCGATTCGTCATAGTAGTGAATAAACCGTGAACAGAGTGAGTGAATGGTGTGAATGGGAAAAAAATATAGGAAAGTATTATTATTACTTGGATTACAAAAATTATTATTGGAATACGTTTAAAAAAAAAAAAAACCATAAATATAAATTAATTACTTCACGTTGCCACGCTTTCCCTCATCGAAATTGCGAAAACGCAACCGACTTCACATTCATGAAACGCGCTCTGACACGCTTTGAAACGCCGCTTGTTGCGTATGTCGCGCGTGGAAAACAAAACAAAACGCTGGCAATGCGATGCAATGCTTAGCATCAATTTGACTGTACATATATACTGTATATATAAAAATTAAAAAATATAATAAAATATATGCATACACGCATATACGTATAAATAAAAGCAACCACTTATCTCTGATGCGTTTCTTCGAATCGAAGAAGTTGGAGAACGAGACCGGTAAGAAAATCGTTGGAATCGAACTTGGCGAGTGGAGAGTAGAAGAACGATCGGCCTTTGTCCCCCGTGCGCGTGCACGCACACAAAAACTGGGGGAAAAAGGAAACGGTGCAAAACTACTAAGGATTGTACACGCGTCGGGAAAAAGAGCAGCGAATCGCATCGATCCGTTCTTGTCGAGAAAAAAACAAAACCGATCGCACTTCTGCCAAGATAGTCTCCGCCGTGATAGTCTCTCTGAACGATCTTACGCTCTTACGCTCCCCCTCGATCTTACGATCTTACGCGAGTGTCACTTTAGTGTCGACGGGAACGATCGGCGGAAACAAAATTTTTCACCCCTTGTCATACCGGGAGGAATCTGCCGAGATACGATACTGTTTGGACGATAATATATACATCGATCGATAATACTTCAAACTTCAAAACTGTCGAGGGGGGGAAAAATGCCGCGCAATTTGTCGGAGGCGGACAGGAAGAAGAATCAGTTCGATAAGGAGGAGAGGGTCCATTTGTTGGCCATAATGAAACAGTACGCCCCTTTGCTGGACAAGAGCGCGTCAACGTTGACACGTAAAAAGATTTGGACGACGATCGAGGACGAGTTCAAGAAGGCGGGATTCACCCGAAAGACGTCCGCTCAATTGAAGAAATATTGGCAGAACTACAAGTATCATTGCAAGAAGGCGACGGCGTTCAGAAAGGTATTCGTTATTCTCCCTCCCCCCTCCCCTTTTTTTTTCGCAAGAAATTCGTTCGTCGACGTCTCGCTGTTAATTAAAAATAAATTATCTGCTTCCGCCAAATATTATTCCGTTCGTAATAATCGTTTATTATCGTGTTTGTTATCGTTAATCAGAGGGAATGGAGGGAATATTTA